TTCAGTTATCACCATTTTTCTTCATTTAAATTTTTTTAAATCATCCTGCTCACGCATACGTAACTTGGTAGGAACTGTAACATGTATTCATAAGATATGTGGGGTATGTCCTGCAGACAAGATACCTTTCGTTTATCACAATTGGTGCTACTAGTCTTAAATATTTACAAAGGTAATGGAGTCTATCTTCAGTACCATTAAACGCCAGTCGTAAATGAGTGGGTTATGTGGTTCAACACAATATGAAAAATGATAACTTCAACCTCATCAAATTGACATTAGGAGAGAACACGTCAGAATCGAAGCGCTCGTAAACTATACTTCCCAATAAGATGGAAGGTTGTAGATGGGTAATTAGGTTGTGTGTCTTCGCAGACACTATCAACACAAAACTCCATGACACAATTGACATGTCTCGCGTAGGAAATTAATTTGTCTAAAATTAGTTCTTTGGTTTATAACATCTTAAAACATAAGTGAAAACAACGTTTAGAACACTGGGAAGGGAAAACAGAAGTATTGTGACAGTGCGAGAACGTATAGATGATACATTAATCATGTGATCAAGTTCGTGGTATGCCTATCGAATGCCAGAGAATCACACTCCTTGATAGGATCCACCTGGGAATCTCGTCTACCGATCGTGTCATGGAATTCTACTGGCTACGCAGTATTGTTTGTAAGGCATTACTGAGAAGTACTTACAAAGTAGGCACAATGTATGGATAACAACTTCTGTTAATACTGTAAAGGAGATGTTTCGGTATATTGCTTGACAACGGTATAAGGATCCATACCGAAACGTCACCTTTACAGTATTAAAAGAAGTTGTTATCCATACATTGTGCCTACTTTGGCTACGCAGTATGTGGTAAAATGTGGCATGGAAATGTATAAACAGTCACAGATGTAGTGTTACACAGTGGTCCTTCCTGCAACACTGCCATAAACACACGCTGGTCAACCAACCACAACACTACCATAAACACACGCTGGTCAGCCACAACCATAAACACACGCTGGTCAACCACAACCATAAACACACACTGGTCAACCACACCACTACCATAAACACACGCTGGTCAACCACAACACTACCATCAACAGACGCTGGTCAACCACAACACTACCATAAACACACGCTGGTCAACCACACCACTGCCATAAACACACGCTGGTCAACCACAACACTACCATAAACACACACTGGTCAACAACACCACTACCATAAACACACACAGGTCAACCACACCACTACCATAAAGACACGCTGGTCAACCACAACACTACCATAAACACACGCTGGTCAACCACACCACTACCATAAACACACGCTGGTCAACCACAACCATACACACACGCTGGTCAACCACAACCATAAACACACGCTGGTCAACCACAACACTACCATAAACACACGCTGGTCATCTACAACACTACCATAAACACACGCTGGTCAACCACAACACTACCATAAACACACGCTGGTCAACCACAACCATAAGCACACGCTGGTCAACCACACCACAACCATAAACACACGCTGGTCTAAAATGTGGCATGGAAATGTATTAACAGTCACAGATGTAGTGTTACACAGTGGTCATTCCTGCAGCACTGCCATAAACACAAGCTGGTCATCCACAACACTACCACAAACACACGCTGGTCAACCACAACACTACCATAAACACACGCTGGTCAGCCAGAACCATAAACACACGCTGGTCAACCACAACCATAAACACACGCTGGTCAACCACAACGATAAACACACGCTGGTCAACCACACCACTACCATAAACACGATGGTCAACCACAACACTACCATAAAGACACGCTGGTCAACCACACCACAACCATAAACACACGCTGGTCAACCACACCACTACCATAAACACACGCTGCTCAACCACACCACTGCCATAAACACACGCTGGTCAACAACACCACTACCATAAACACACGCTGCTCAACCACAACACTACCATAAACACACGCTGGTCAACCCGCATCACTACCATAAACACGCAGGTCAACCACAACCATAAACACACGCTGGTCAACCACAACCATAAACACACGCTGGTCAACCACACCACTACCATAAACACACGCTGCTCAACCACACCACTGCCATAAACACACGCTGGTCAACAACACCACTACCATAAACACACGCTGCTCAACCACAACACTACCATAAACACACACTGGTCAACCACACCACTACCATAAACACACACTGGTCAACCAAAACACTACCATAAACACATGCTGGTTTTACAACAACACTACCATAAACACACTCTGGTCAATTCCAACACTACCATGAACACGCTGGTCAACCACAACACAACCATAAACACACACTGGTCAACCACAACACTACCCTTAATACACCCTGGTCAACCACAACACTACCCTAAACAGACACTGGTCAACCCGCATCACTACCCTTAACACACACTGGTCAACGACACCACTACCCTAAATATACGCTGGTTAACCACAACACTACCCTAAACAGACACTGGTCAACCCGCAACACTACCGTTAACACACACTGGTCAACCACAACACTACCCTAAATATACGCTGGTCAACCACAACATTACCATAACCACACTCTGGTCAATCACAACACTACCATGAACACGCTGGTCAACCACAACACAACCATTAACACACACTGGTCAACCCGCAACACTGCCGTAAACACACACTGGTCAACGACACCACTACCATAAACACACGCTGGTCAACCACAACACTACCATAAACACATGCTGGTCAACCACAACACTACCCTAAACAGACACTGGTCAACCCGCAACACTACCCTAAACACACACTGGTCAACGACACCACTACCATAAACACACACTGGTCAACCCGCAACACTAAAATAAACACACCCTGGTCAACAAGATAATTACCCTAAATACGCTCGTGTCAAACACAACACTACCATAAACACACACTGGTCAACCACAACCCTACCATAAACACACACTGGTCAACCCGCAACACTACCGTTAACACACACTGGTCAACGACACCACTACCATAAACACACGCTGGTCAACAACACCACTGCCATAAGCACACGTTGGTCAACCACAACACTTCCATGAACATGCTGGTAAACCACAACACTACCCTAAACACACACTGGTCAACCCGCAACACTACCCTAAACACATACTGGTCAACAAGATAATTACCCTAAACACGCTCGTGTCAACCACAACACTACCATAAACACACGCTGGTCAACCACGATATTATCTCAAACAAACTCTGGACAACCACAGAACTACCCTCAACACACTCTTGTGAACTTCAACATTACCTTAAACACTCGCTGGTCAACCACAACACAACCATAACAAACACACGCTGTGTCATGAATATTCATTCGCACAACACTTTAAGAGTTTTACAAATGTGTGTCTAAGGTTCTGTGCTTGACAAGCTGACAAGCTGCATGTGGCATTGTACCCAAGTTGTGTCATTGATAAGGACGTGTCCATTACAGTATCGAGGTAGACAGTGGTGTGTTGAAGGTAGTGTTATGAAAGTGTTGTTACCTAGTGTTGTGGTTGACAACGGTTTGTTCAAGGTAATGTTGTGGTTGACAAGAGTGTCTCCAAACTTAGTGTTGTGGTTGATACAGTAGCATTGTGGTTGAAAAGGTGTCATTCAGGAAAATTGTTAATGTTATGAGATCTTTTCCTAACAAATTAAGAACAGGTAAATATTACCTGACGTTCGTTCGTTCACACATCCACTCAGTAACGACACACATTCCTGACAAAATCAAAACTAAACTTTCGCTTTGAAAATATTCTGAAAATCTGGTATCAAATGTGTTCGTTATGGCCAGAAGAGTTGTTTACATTGTATGACACGGTGCAAAGGTTCATTTTTAATGAATGTACATTCACCTGCGCCGCCCTCCAAACAAAAAACCCCAAAAAACTCCCCCTCACACACACCGAAAACAAACACACATGCACACAACACCTACTTCCCTATTCCCTTTGGAGAATACATATACACACCGACGCACTCAAACACAATTTTCTTCTTATGATTGTGTTGTGTGTATTTTGTATCCCCATGCATGATGGTGATGGTTATAACAGTTTTAGAGTCACCTAAATGTCACCGAGTGCATTTGAACCACACAGTGTAAGGTTGGCATATATCATAGAGATAGACCACAATGCAAGGATATCCGGATTAGATGGCATGCTATTTGTGTTTCTGCACCTATGTTACGTCACATGTAATCTACACATGGTTAGGTAATTATGGGGCGGCGGAGTGGAAGTCATGTCATGCAATAATCACAATGTGAAAATATTACATTGACAATCGATGTTGTAATATACGGTTTTTAATATCGTAATAGTCGGGGAAAGTTAGTTAGATCTAAAACCCCGTCTATATCTATATCACCTGCCGTCAACCCTCGCTGAATGTCCGAGGATGTAAGTTGTGTTCGTTCGGTCAAGGTCGCACGTGAAACCTGTCCCGCTTTGATTTGCTGATTTGCATATAATGTCAGGTGTAAAGTGAATCGGTCTTTTTCTGGAACGAATTCGAAAGGATCATACCGGCTGATGAATGAGGCAAGAAAGAGGTATGTATGGTCGCAGTTTTCAGTGAGCTTTTCGGCCTTCAAGGTAACAATTATACGTCTTCACTGCGAAAACTTCATGTAAATGTCACAGTCGATTAGAGCATACAAAAGTATATGTTGTGTGATAGTGGGATTTTGATTTATCTCAGTTTACCCGTCGTAGTTATGCTCGTACATTGTCCCCAAGTTGCCAGAGTGCATTGTCAAAATAAGGCCAGACACTGTTGGTGACTTTTGGCGTACTCGTCTTTTTGATAGTGTAAATTTGAGTTTTCTACGTGTAAAATATATATTTCTTTTTGTGACTTATTCTTGTTTCAATTAATATCTTGAAAGAGAAATCACACAATTCGATCTATAGTGTCTATTTATTATCATCCAAACTAATTATTTCATATTCTAACGACCATAAAAAAGTCGATTAATAAATATATAAATAAAATAATTTGCATAACAGAAGATATCCTTCGTGGAAGAACATTTGTCTATTGCTTTGGTTTCCACAATATACCAGTACCATTCATTGTCCTTCGTAGGAAACCGACCCATACCGTTGTTTTGGATGGTGTTGCCATGGTAACTGTAACGCATTTAAAGACGCCACACCGTTGACTACTACATTATTAAAGTCAACAGAATTCAGTGCGGAATTATAACCACGGAAGTGCAAAATGTGTGGAACACAAAAACAAAGAGACAAAATGAACAACAAGTAATGACTTTTTCGTACAGCCTTGGTAGGCCCAACCACGATGCCTTATATGCACTGCCAAGGACGGTTAGCATTACACTACGAAGGCAGGTTCTCAATGCACAACCAGGGTACGCGTCCAAACCACAACCAGGATAGCCTATCTACTGCCAAGGAAGATTAGCATTACACTACGAAGGCAGGTTTCCAATGCACAGCCAGGGTAGGCGTCCAAAGCACAACCAGGATAGCCTATCTACTGCCAAGGAAGATTAGCATTACACTACGAAGGCAGGTTCCCAATGCACAGCCAGGGTAGGCGTCCAAAGCACAACCAGGATAGCCTATCTACTGCCAAGGAAGATTAGCATTACACTACGAAGGCAGGTTCCCAATGCACAGCCAGGGTAGGCGTCCAAAGCACAACCGGGATGCCCTGCGCACTGTCAAGGACGGTTGGCAATACACTACCAAGGTAGGTTCTCAATGCACACCCAGGGTAGGCGCCCAAAGCACGACCAGAAGGTTCGCAACAACGCTCAAGGTAAGTTCCCAATGCACAGCCAGGGTAGGCGCCCAGTGCATTACAAAGATAGGTGCCCAATGCACTAAAAAGGTAGGTACCCAATGCACAGCTAGGGTAGGCGCCCAGAGCATTACAAACATAGGTGCTCAATGCATTAAAAAGGTAGGTGCCCAATGCACGGCCAGGGTAGGCGCGCAATGCACGACCAGGATGCCTTGGTTCCCACGTTCAGATGCAACATCTGGAACCATGTACCATCAAAAGAGGTGCCAAATGCCCCGTGAGCATACCATTAAGGAAGGAGCGTGCAGTCCAATACATCGCCGTCTGGGTAGGTATCCAAGGCCTGCAGGGTGCCATGCTGTTATAAAAGTAGCCAGATATTAGTTCTTTTCAGACTTCCTTAATACCCATACGGTCGTTGGGGGATGTTGATCGACGTGGTCGAGAGAGGGACTGCGTCCGCATATGTCTGTCCAGCGAACTTTCTCTGCATGCATAGCTTCCTTGAGGACCTCTTACAGTGCGTAGTTCGTACGTTTGGACGTGTTGCCAATTATCGTACGGGTTTTGTTGATTAAGACGCCTGTCAATAAGCGGCATCTCCTCAGATGGCGATCTCGGATCTCCTCTCCTGCTGGTAGTTGTTCTCATCAAGGAAGGTGTTCGCTGCTGTATGGCTTGATATTGAATTTGATCCTGTGGTCTCCGCTCAAGAGATGGTGTCCTTCTAATCACACTGTTTCTCTTGTTCTCTGGCATTTTCTCTAGAGACGGTGTCCTTCTACTCATAGACTCTCGACCTCTGGGATGATTGTTTTGCTTGACACTGTGACTCCTGTGCTCTGGTCTTCCTCGAGAGTGACCGTCACCATTTTCAGACTCATAAGGACTCGCTTTTTTCTGGACCACAACATGTGTTTCTCTGGGTCTTGAGCCGGGTCTTGCCAGTTGTGGACTCTGCCTGATAATATTAGGACCATGAGGTTTTATATCAGCACGAGCAGTTCCATGTTTATGTATACTGTCTGCACGTGTGTTGTTGATGGAGTGAGACGATGCGGAGTTTGTTTGTTGTGGCTGATAGGTTGAAGGAGCCTCCGTTTCTTTGATCTCAACTGAGTGTTTGACTTCCTGAATATTTTTCTCCAATGCGTCAATTTTTGTTGATATTTTACTGTAAAAGCTGTTTAACTGGTTTAACACCTCATCTTTGGCTTCAGTTATGTCTGAAATACAAGAACACAAAAGGCATATGACACACACAACATCTGTTTCCAGTTTAGAGGCTTCAAACTTAGATACCTGAATGTGTAAAATGTAAAGGTTTAAATCGAATTCTAAATTATTCTCACAGGAGATAGATCTCAACCATGACAAATACACTCTTTATTGACAGCGAAGTGATAAGTCCGAATGACATAATTAGCTGAATACTCGAATGAATCGGCATTAACGATATGTCATTCACACAGTGTATAGACAGGATTGACACGTGAACAATGAATGGCCAAGCCCGAGGTGATCGTAACAGCATGTTTTACTCAATACTCCGCCCCGAAGGGATTCCCCAGTGTCCTTTGCTTGTCGTACGAACCGCCGGGTTTTTCATTTATAATTCCTCAAATGCAAAAAAAACTTATTGAAGTCAATTGTTATAAATATATAAGTCAGCAATAATAAGGTCACTGCTTATTAAATCATTTAATTTAAAACCAAAAATATGTAGACGAAAATACGAAATCGGTGACATCTTATAGTGCAATGATGCAACCTAAGCCAAACCCACCATCTATCAGCCAAGTAGACTAGTGTTCGTCTATTTAATATAAACGAAAATTAAATAGCTTTATTAGATGATCAAATGCTATGGAATTATTAGCAAAGGGAAGAATGTAGTAAAACGGCAAATGAAACGTGAATAATAGAACGTCATGGTCGTGAATACTTTAGTTTACTGTTTTTCCTTCAGTTTTACATGTCCATTAATTAGCCGATGACCTTGCCAAAACACGAAAGAATAGTATACTGTCTCTCACGAGTGTCTGTTCATTATTAATAAACAATAAAGGCAACTGTCCCGTAGGGAGGCAATTCTATTTCTCTTATTAGTCAATAGTCAATGATGAGAAGGTGTGGAGTCTCACCGTCCTTCAGTGTTTCTCCTTTCTTGTCGAACTTCATCTTATGGACGTAGCGCAGAACCACTTTATGCATGATTGCCTGGAAGCAAAGCACAATTAAATCTTACTTTTAGAAGTACTTGGTGTATTAATTGGGGACGATTGCCCTGCGAACGTTTGATGCTTAAGGTGAGACCTTGTTCACAAAGTACGCGACGTCTTAAGATTATGAGACTCCAAGTGTGGACATGGATTCATCAGTTCTGTCAGTGAAAGTTACCGGCATTTAGTGCAAAGGCCATTTTAAACTTACATCTGATATAAAGGTAAAAATGTTCAAGGGATATGATTAAGATCTTTCGTCTTTTGTTGTATATTGCTATCAAAATAAAACATTTTGGATACTTTTGAAGACTCATATATATGTACATCAAACTCTCGTGGGGTTTATTTGTATCTGAATGGCACTAAGACCTCGGAGGTCCCACGACAAAACTGTAGGTATACTGGCAAATACATGCAAGTACAACTCGAATAACTCTTACTTCCAACGACATCTGTATAACCTTACAGTGCCATGGAGCTCTATGGCATGAATGTCTCATAATACTGAAAACCCAAACTAAAAAGGTCGTATGTTTTTCATTTTATGATGCTAAGGGGCCGCGGGCGTGATAATGTTTCTAATATTCTCAGCACTAGGGCATTTTCATAAACTAGACACAATTTTTGATAACAACTTTTTTATTAAACTATTAATGTAATATGGAATGAACATTAAAGAAGTTATTATCCATAAATTATGTTTACTTTGTCATCCGCCAACTTCTAAGAAATGTCTATCACACCATCCTCCCATAAGTTGACTGACTGTGATATAACTGAAATCTTGTTGAAACATAACTTCACTCACTCACTTCCTAGCTTATAATGCATACCCTTTACATGTCACGAATATGTCACCTAATGATCACACAGTTATAATCTCACCTTCTCTCATGACTGGTATCTCACCTTATAATCGAACTCAAAACCGTCGTCATCATTTTCCGTGTCGTCACTGTCAAACTGTAAACAGGAAACAGACAACAGACGTACAGTAATACTGTTAGGTTCTGTCAATGTCAAACTGTAAGCAGAAAACAGACTACTTACTGTTATATTGTTATGTTCTGTCAATGTAAAACTGTAAACAGGAAACAGACTTACGGTAATACTGTTATGTTCTGTCAATGTCAAACTGTAAACAGGAAACAGACGTACAGTAATAATGTTAGGTTCTCTCAATGTCAAACTGTAAACAGGAAACAGATTTACGGCAATACTGTAAGGTTCTGTCAATGTCAAACTGTAAACAAGAAACAGACGTACAGTAATACTGTTATGTTCTGTCAATGTCAAACTGTAAACAAGAAACAGACGTACAGTAATACTGTTATGTTCTGTCAATGTCAAACTGTAAACAAGAAACAGACGTACAGTAATACTGTTATGTTCTGTCAATGTCAAACTGTAAACAAGAAACAGACGTACAGTAATACTGTAAGGTTCTGTCAATGTCAAACTGTAAACAAGAAACAGACGTACAGTAATACTGTTATGTTCTGTCAATGTCAAACTGTAAACAGGAAACAGACGTACAGTAATAATGTTAGGTTCTCTCAATGTCAAACTGTAAACAGGAAACAGATTTACGGCAATACTGTAAGGTTCTGTCAATGTCAAACTGTAAACAAGAAACAGACGTACAGTAATACTGTCATGTTCTGTCAATGTCAAACTGTAAAAATGAAACCGGAGTACAGTAATACTGTTTTGTTCTGTCAATACCAAACTGTAAGCAGAAAACAGACGTACAGTTATAATGTTAGGTTGTGTCAATGGCAAACCGTAAACAGGAAACATACCTACAGTAATACTGTTAGGTTCTGTCAATGTCAAACTGTAAACAGGAAACAGATTTCCAGTAATACTGTTATGTTCTGTCAATGTCAAATCTTCAGCCGGAAACATACTAACAGTAATACTGCTATGTTTGTGTCAATGTTTATAAGTCAAACTACGCACTAATATATATTCGATGATTTGATATGGAAATCATACAATTGGAAATTGTTCGTTTACAAATCATAAAGTATACTTAATGGTGTTTTTCTTCTACTGCAGGTCTTAAAGAAGAGGATTAACTTGAGAATGGACTTGGGTGTCGGAATGATATTGAAAGGAATAGGTAAAGTCGTGCCCTCTTCTATAAATGATATCCACAATTTTGCACGTGCAAACTTCCACTCCATGTCTTCGTCTATCTGCAAATGAGAGGGCGCTACGTTTCGTAAGTCGTGACGAGAGATTCGGCGTGAGTTGTTTGAAGAATCATGTACATTTGATGAGATGAAATAAGATTATTTTTGGATTTTAAGGTACATTGTTTTAGCTGTAAAGAGAGAGTTGCGCAGCAAAGTCAACAGATTGCTGCATCATATATCTGCGGGAAAATAATCTGAAAACAACTTATATGCAGCATTTATACTACAAGCTTTGGTTAATAATAGGTTTTCAAAGTGATAAGTTGTGCTTAACTGGACAAATCCTCACCTGAATTTCTTCAAATGTGTTACTCATCATGGCTATGAGCATATTGATGAGAACTACCACAGCTCCCAGTATGTACACTCCGTACAGAATGAAACCCACCATCTCCACTACCTTGTGGGACCCGCCCTCGCTGATCTTGGGGGCCTCAGAGTTTCCCATCCCGAAAGCTGCCCAGAACAAAGTCCCTGAGGTCTGCATCAGACTAGAACATAATGGCCAAGAAGGTAAAATCACTTTCCTAGCATTTCAGCAGTCACTTGATCTGCAACCCTTTCAATCACGTGTATCTATTACAGTCACGTGTATCTATTACGATTGTAGTCCTTTCCGTTATAAAATTACACGATTTATGGTGTACACTATATATACACATATACATAAACATAGGTATGACACTTGTCATTTTTTTAATGAAATACAGAAGGAAGGAAGAGCAGAAAGCATGAAAACTCGCAAAACTACAATTTTAATAAAACATGTGTGATTGTATCACATGAACAATCACGGAGAGAGCATTGAAATGAATCCACATATCAAAATGTCGAGACAGTGGAACAGGGTTAACCAAATGCGGATGAAATCACTAAAATACTGTACAGCGACAGACAAAGACAAGCCAAACTCATCAAGTCATCACAGAAAGAAGGCATTTCTGCTTCCATGGATACCGAAACGGATTTTCCAAGGATTCCTAGTAGGGACAGTGTCAATCACTCACGGACTGGAAACACAAGTAATGAAAGTGCATATAGCAGGATCCCCTTCATGTAACTGGACAAGATAGGCCACATATAAACCAGAAACCTAACAGCTGTGCGTCACAGGAATCGGCCAAGACCATGAAGCAAGCATTTGATTTTTCGGACAAAGAACATCTTATGAACTTATATTTCGAAAACGACGATGAACATACATTTGGAAACACAGTGCACAATAGAAAGTCTACATATGATGAACGTATCACCACGAAGAATGTGAAGGACAAACCGCAGAAATCATCAGTAGTTAGCTGTGCTGTATTCGATGATTGAACGTATGACGAACCAGATCACGTGTCTTGCTATGTGTCACTCTTCCGCGCGCAATGTAGGACAATACGAAGAAAACATTAAACAGTAAATTGACAAAAGCATTATGATGAGCACATTTCCCAAAACAAATCCGTCCTGGACCCACTTGCACAAAGCGATCTTAGCGCTAAGATGATCGTAGCTCCCATACTTTAACATAGGTTTACAATAGTCATAGCGCTAAGATCGCTTTGTGCAAGTGGGCCCTGGACTTGTGTTTACAAGATATTAGTATTCCACCAGGCGAAATATCATCTGAGTGTGGAAATCAATAGCTCTAATGCATTGTTAGTATTTGCTAAATGTACCATTTAATCGTGTTGCAAAACTTACCAAGTTATTTAACACAATTCTCAAAACAGAATATCTTCCCAACAAGTATAGACTTGGGATTGTAAGTTCAATGTGTACGGTCCTAAGTAAGATCCTACAATCTATAGGTGCATTAGTTGACATCAGGTCTGGGTAAATTATTTGCAAAAGTTATTTTACAACGAAAATATCCGTTATTTTTACAACATATTTATAAAAGAGCAATGTGATGTAATGTCTGACTATACATTACATGAATGTGTGATTATTTATCCAGGAAATCACCGAAATATGGAGCCTTCCTGGACTTTGATCGTATTAGGCATGCTGAAATATTTGTAAAACTGTATATGATAGGGATTAAGGGGAAGTTGTGGAATCTCCTCTATCAAAGTTCCAGCAAAATGTGTGCATATCTCACCTACTTTGGTGACATATCACATACGTTTCATGTCGAGTAGGGCGGGTGCTTTCTTCGTGGCTTTCGATGGATGCTTTCTTCGTATATCAATGCTCTGATCTGTGATGCTCGCTGATGACACTACATTAATTAGCGCCACACCTAGAGGTCTACAAGTAGCTCTTGATACTGTCACTCAGTATGCCTTTGATTGACGATTAACTTTACAAACCGTTACATTCAGTAGATTGAATTCTCAACATAATCCCTTCTGACGCAGCGCGCGAGCGACGCGCTCGCGTCAAAAAATCGCAACAGTGCTATTTCAATGAACTGCCCATGCTCACGCGGCAAAAGCGATTTTTAACGCGTGACGCCCCGACGCATGGGGGGATCCCCTAGTTGTGATGTCACTTCCTTTCACAAAACACAACACGTGGTTGAGGACAGTTTTATTAATTGCAAACAAAATAGACAGAAAATGCCAAACAAAAACATTGACGAGGAGAAATTAATAAAATAAATTGAAATACAGAAATACCCTTTTCTGTATAATTTGGATTCACCCCACTACAAAGACAATGAAATGCATTAAGTGCCTGGAAATCAATCAGTTCGACATTTGAGGGTTCAAGTGGTAAGTATTCGTATCATTATTATCAAAATACATTTAACGAAGAAATACTGGATACAATTTCTCTGTACACATGGTTAACGTTCATTCAGCTGACCCCTTTCTGACGGCAGCATATTGCCATGGAACCTCCCCAGCTGGAGAGTTGAATTACTGGCAAAACTTGTCACGAATCTGGACAGCAGAAGAGGCTGCATGGGTACTGATTCCACCAATGTCTGCTAGTCCTTGTCTGTTAGCTTCTGCAACGGGTGCACATTCCCGTGTTTGTGGAGTATCCTGCTGAAGGAAGTTATGAAGGACACACGTAGCAAATATGACCTTCCTTACATTCTCTACCTTGAGGTTGTTTCTCCTCTGGTAGATTCTCCATCTACTGGCAAGGATGCCAAAGGCATTTTCAACGACTCTGCGACTGCGTGATAATCGATAGTTAAAGATGCGCTTAGATTCCGACAAATGTCTTCCTGGATATGGCCTCATAATGTTGTTTTTGATCAGAAACGCTTCGTCAGCTACGATCACTTACGGCATTGGTCCTATGTCCTGAGCATCATGCAGTACAGATTCTTTGGGAAGATTGAGTTTCTGGTTTTCCATTGCCTTTCCAAATTGTGAATTTGCCCAGAAAATGCGAATGATGAAGATGAGTTATTTCTTCGATCACAAGTCCAAGCACTAAAGCGCCTACACCCCAAAAAACGAGCGGAAGTTAAGTTTTTAATCCATGAAATGATGTACAAGGCCGAATGTTTCCCTAATTCCAACATGTCTGTTCAGGTTCTACCAATGCCAGGACAATCTACTTTGGGAACCAACCAGTATGGTATGAACCAGGAGTGGAACTATAATGACACACCAACCTATCAATATCTGTAAATGATATATTCAATGAATATACAATGTACATGACATTACCTCAGTGTTTTGGCAAGACGCTCTCGGGGTGAAATCGCCCGTCTACAGTTGGTTGATTTTTTAGATATAGATGGTCCAATATATCTCAATATTTCGTCAAACTTGGTCTTCGGCATTCTGAAATACTCAGAAAACATATTATCATCAAGTTCTAGTTCTTTCACCAATGTGTTGTATTCTCCCGTTTCTTTTCTTTTTTCTTGTAGTTTATGTATCCACTTGGATCTTTCTGATTTTGTTTGTCTTCTCCTCATGAGATACAACATGATTGCTGTACGTTTTCGTTGTTTCTGTCGGATTCTAGTCATGGTTAATGATCTGGAGCAAATAAAAGACTGTTAAATTAAATTGGATCTGTGATATATTGATATCCTTCACGAATGGTCAAAGGCATAAAACCATAATTTTTCCTTTAACGCACTGCTTCAGTATGGGCGGTAAAGCAGCGCGTTATTGTGGAGAAAAAACGCGTTGTCGCGCTGCGCCTCTCGCGCGCTGCGTCAGTTTGGGGGAGCCTTTAGTGGTGTTACTATTCAAACGTCAGATAGCGTAACATATGGGAGAGTCACTCTGTATAGGAGAAACCATTTCTACGAGGGATTACCAGCGATTGTAAACCCTTGTCACCGAATGTCAGGGTTTACCAGCGCTGGCAATCCCGAGGAGAAATGGTTTGTTCAACTTATAAACCGACTCATCGCATAGACAACGTTTTTAATTAAATAACTGTAATAAAAACTCTCAAATGTATAATCTGTATCGGAGATGAAATATCGCCTGCAGTCGTGAAGTCAATGAAACCGGTGACCTCAGCACGTGGGTTTCGCAACGGTGCGAAATCTGCACGTGCGTCTCGCAATGGCACGAAATCTGCACGTGCGTCTCGTAGGCTGAGACTATTACACGTTTTGCTTTGACTAACGCTCATTCATTGTACAGCCAGTGACGAAAGAGGGTGTCTGACAGCGAGACAGAGTTATTTCGATCCAAGGAGAAAGACCTGGATGATTTTCAATTTCGTTTTGGGGAACCAATGACGGAGGAGATTGTGAGAGAGAAGTTAAAAGGTACTGTTTCTAAGCTAACTCGAATGAAAACTGACTGGGCTGTGGGTATTTTCAAGCGATGGCAACAGGAGAGAATGCAACGCTCAGTCAATGAAAATCTTCGTTTGCCTCCTAGTCGTTTGACACAGCGTTTGCAGGATATTGAAAAGCCGGACTTGAACACTGCCTTGACGTACTTTTTGTTTGAAGCCAGGAAGCAGAACGGGGAAGTTTATCCATCCACGACGTTATATGGAATATAGGCAGCCTTCGCGTCAATTCTGAAAGAAAATTCTGCATTCTGCAACCTTTTTGATGACGATGAATTTAAAGAAGCGAGAAAATCTCTCGATGCAGTAATGAAAGAAAGGAGTGGTCAGGGATTCGGCGCGTCAACACGCAAGTCAACAGAAGTTATATCCGAGGAAGAGGAACAGCATTTGTGGGAGAAGGGGATGCTTGGAGACTCTACTCCCCAAACACTACTGGATACTGTTTTGTACCTAACTGGTGAGTGTTTATATTGTACTAAAGGTCAACGAACATCTCTACCCATCTTCCCGAGGCAAGAGAGTTAACTGACTATAAAAGTCAAGTTTTCAGCCTTGCCGGACTTGGCTAGTATTGTGGAGTTTCATTTTGGCTGGGCTTACGAGTCTATGCATAGTCCAATCAAAATCGCGCAACGAAATCGAAATCCGGTTCGTAAACTGTCGTGCTGATTTCGGTCGATTGCAGGATTTGCAAAGCATGTGCACCTTAAACTCGTTGTCCATAGATATTTTCCAAATCTTTTCATGATTTTAATCAAGGTGCTTACGT